GTTGCACTTTGCCTCAACTCTTCCTCATTGCTCCTTGTGTCAACAGTTCCGTCCCAATAAGCTACAATACTAGTCTGTGGTGGCATCCATTTAAGTCATCTCTTGTTGGAGTGCTTTTTCTTCTCGTCAGTGATTTACTCTATGGCCTCTAATTCTGGTCTCCAAGTGCATCTTTTTCCTAGGTCTTTCCTCAGTCACTATTTTCTCTGCACTGCTTGTCCTCATCACTCTCTTGCTCCTCCTTTTTCCACCACCGCATTGTATCATCCCACGGTCGTGTGTCGTGGGAGTAGGGCAGTCCGTGGTCTGAACGAATTGCGGGATTCGGCAAAACTTGTATCCTGGTGCCGCTTCATACCCCAGTCGGTCTTGCAGGTTTTTAAGCAGTACGGGACATGAATTTGACCATCGTGCGTGTTTATTTTGTGCAACTGGAAAAGATTGAGGGGTGGCCAAAAGTATTTTGCATTGGATAAAGCGCAGAATCGGTCGGGTCCAAGGGGCAAAAGGAAAATGAATGCCGATGCGAAAACTGTTTATAGATTGGTGCACAAAGAATGTGCCCATTTGCATGTTGAAGCAAGGCGCACCCACAAGAATTTGTTCAATAGTAAAGAAAGTTCTGTTCTCCATGCACTTCGTTAACATATGCGTAAACACTAGTTGTAGCCTTGCTTATTATGACGCAATGTACCGTACGAATCTATAGGCAACATCAAGATCATTTGACGCAAAGCTGAGTTAATAGTAGGCACCTGCATCGGACTGTAGAGGCTCTTGCACAAGACCATCACGCACAAGCACACTGGTAAATTGGGTGGCTAAAATGCGCTTCTTAGATGATGAGAGCACCAGGATCTGGGTGGTTTTGATGTCTTCGCCACTAGTGACTTGGAGATGGCTGAAGCAAATGCTTGCTTACTAGCTAGCTTTAACTCAGAAATCAGGTTCGTGGTAAGATACCACCACTCATATGTGCTATCCTATAGCTTATCCTATCCTCTCGTAGAGCTGGAATTGCCACATTCCTTTTTACAAAGCTACCGGTACCACCCAATAGGGAAACTGTGTCCCTATGTCAGCTACGGATGGTCCAACAGCGAGAATGGCCCAACAGGGAGAATGGATTCCCGGAAGTGGGGTAAATACTGGCAAATTACCCTCAGCCCCAGCTCCAGAACTCCCTTTTCTGAAGAAATCCATTTTCCATCATCACAATGAGTTGACAGATATACCCCTAGCAGTTTAACCAATAGAGCCACCCTATCAACACCATGAGATAGGGGATACATAATTTAGACGTGCCGGTCGCAGTGGTGGTAGTGGCTTCTCCATTTGCTGGTCGTTGAAGCAACGAACGGCTGGCAAAGTTAGGCAGCCATCTTTCGGCAATTTTTGCTGCCCCCAACAGGCCAGCCAGTCTCTGTCCCCACCACATGCCCTGTTTGGTCCAACCAAGGTAGATTTTCCTACAGGTATGAGTCACAGCAAGTCTGGAATGGCTAAAGCTATTGTTGCTATCAGAAGAACCACCAGAATAGATGCTAGAGTTGTCCCTTGATCATTCTGGATTTGTGGTCTGGGGCTGCCACTTTTTCTATTAACTCGAGGATCCTACTAGCTTCCAATGGTATGATTCTCCACAATATGCCTATTAGATCAATAGATATGATCGGGTTGATAGCAGAAGGGCAACACAGTTCCAAATGAAGCTGAAGCTGAGAACTTGGCAATATTTGGAAGAAAAATGAGTCTCTAGTTTGGCATAAGATAATGCATGCTACATGACTGCAACCACTACAACCAGCACATGGCTACGAGAAGCAAAGAGTGTAGACAACTTTAGATATCTGCTTTGGTTGTGTAGGTGCCATCTTGGTTGAGTTCATCCTGCAGCTAGCAGTGCTTTCACCACATCAACTTGCCATGGTGTGGGCGGTATCATGGCTGGTACCGGTACCGGTACCGTAGAGGTGCTACGGTCCTCAGGTAGGATGACGTCATCAGTGAGAATTCGAGAACATTCTCGCTGTTGGACCATCCGTAGTCAGGGCTGAATGATCGAATCTTGGGATAGTGTTCAGATAGATTGGTACCAGAACATTATGACCATGCACCTTTACAACTGCCCAATGTCCCGTCAATCGTCCATCGTCCATCCCATCTGGCAATCAGAAAGCTTGACGTACGCTAAGTCCAAGTCCGAGAAATGGCTTAGGAGACAGTTTCTGTTACAATTTCCGCAGCTGGTGCCACCGCAGAGTGACGATAGCATGGCGACTGCATGGCGTGTCAGAAGTCCTTTCGAGCATATCAAGCAGAAGATTTGGAACAACTCTTCTTATTTTTGACATTTCCAAGCGATTGCATCATCTGCTCGAGCATTGGCAGCTTGTATGGAAGCCACGGAACCTTTGCTGCTTATCATCAACCATCAACAATCAACACTGCCAAGGAGAGCAATAAGGATCTACCCAAGAAAGGAGGAGCGGCATCAATCAAAGAGTTGAGTGATTGTGTTATTTTTCGACAGACCACGTTTGGATCGTTCGACAGACGTGAGGTATCCTATTCGCGATAGAAAGAACGACTCTCGATGAGCCAATTCAAACCTACTAACCGCCACAAGTCGTCGAAAAGCAAGACCTGGTTCCGCGCGTTGTTTTCGAAGAAGAGCGTCTCGGATAGCAACAACAACACCAGCATGATGAAGCGGCACGACAGCGACAGCAACCAGAGCAGCTCGTCGACGTCTTCGTCATCCTCGAACTCCAATAGCTCTTCGCCCAAACCAGCCCCCAAACGCCAACAACAAAAGCAGCAACAAAGACGCAAAGCGTCACTATCGAGAGAGCAGCAGGTTCTACAAGACTATGTCCCCAAGTATCTCAAGCCCTATGTATACCCCTATCATGGTGAATTCTGCTACACACCACTCTTTAAAACGCGTTTTATTGCCCAGCTCATGGCCGAAGGATTCTTACCGGTCGCCACACGAGGCATGCTGCTACCCAAATTGCATCAAAATCGTTCCGTGATCCAGTTACCCGATGAATTGCACGTGTCCAAGTCGGTGCGGAAAAAGTCCAAGCGGTTTTCGATATCCGTCAACAAAGAATTCGATCAGGTAATTGAAGGGTGTCATACCCAACATGGCAGTCATTGTTGGCTCTATCCGCCACTGGTCAAAGCCTTTCGCGAAATGATGGGGGCTGGAAAGATTGAGGCGTCTCCCATGGACCCCGAAACTGGAAAACCATATCCGGATCGGACCTGGACCGTCCGCTTGTATACCATTGAAGTTTGGAACGAGGAAACGGGAGCGCTGGCAGGAGGAGAGATCGGATATACCGTGGGTAGCATCTACACGAGTCTCACTGGATTCACCAAAGAAGATAGTGCCGGATCGGTACAATTGATTGCTCTGGGTAGGCTCTTATCGGAGTGTGGCTTTACGCTGTGGGATCTAGGGATGGATATGGACTACAAGCGTGGCATTGGAGCCAAACTCATGCCTCGAGACACCTTTGTACAGCAAGTGCATGCCGTTCGAGAAACACAAGATCACTTGCTCCTCCCGTCTCGAGAAAGTCCGGCTCAAAATTGCAAAGAAGTCATTGACCGGAACCAACCTGCATCGCAGCAGCAACCACAACAACAGCCATCACAAAAACCAAAAAAGCAAAAGCAACCAAAAAACAAGAAAAAGGGTCCCAAACCCCCTTCCCAACCCGCAAATGGAGCTGATTCGGCCGAAGACAATGACAGTCGAGAACAAACACACACTCCGCCTGCACCGGAAGCAGAGACACCAGTCAAAAGGGTGAGGAAATCGGATCAGCCACCACTGGAGCTGGAGGAGGCAAGCTCGGCCACTTGTTGAGAGAGCAGGCGTAGCAAACAGCGAGGTTTTAGAGCGGACGATGCAGCAAGCAACAAATGTTAAAAATAGAACTGCATGACCGCTCTTCCTTGGTTGTGGGTGTACCGACACCGAGACTACTAGTAGCCTATTAGCTCCGGGCACGATGTGGCTTGCCGTTCAGTTTTAGTGGAACTTCAAAATCGGTGCGCTCAGTATGCTCGGCGGCAGAGATCGAATGACTTCCGAGATGAACAATCTGAAAGGCTTCCTCTCTCTCGCGAATCTTGCTAATGACACTAGCTCTACAACTACCTGAACGGGCAAGGCTTCTGCTTAACCACAACGATTTTCGAAAGAATCAAAGAGCTAATTTTATTCTATCTAGTATCAATGCTATCCCAACTGACCTAGTTGTGCCAGGAAATCACTCGCATCGACCAGTTCTGTACTTCCGTAGCTGATCGTCCTTCGGTCTGTGGCAACCATTTGTAAATTCTGGTACTCCGCGTAACATCCTCCCCCAATGGTAAAGGCAATGACTTCTCGTACGGGCGAACGAGTCATGCTCCTCAGCTTGACAACATCCACTTCCCCCTTCACCTTGGGGTCTAGATACAGGAACTGTTCGTCTTCTGTGCCTGGTTTCATTTCACACAAATTCTCCACCACCAGAGTCGCATAATGTTTGTGAATCTTTCCGAGCATCGACGTGACACGGTCAGTCGCCTTGGCCAAGAGACCTGCTGCCTGTCCGGTGGTTTTTTGCAGGAAACTGGCAATGCCGGCACCTGCAGAAGCGGGAGCTTCATCCGACAGAGACATTTCGGCCATGGAAGGAATCATGTGCATGGAACGCAGCTGTTTGAGGTACTGTGTCGCCTTGACTCCCACTTTCACCTTTTCACGGGCCGCTCGATCGACTCCTTCCGATTTTTCCACGGCGTCTTGCATGGCTTGTGTCACCTCGTCGATATCGGCCGATTTGGCTGCCGTCGCCAGACAGTACACCATGACCAGACGAATCTTATCATCCACATTTCCCTTTGAAGGGTCACCTGCCAATGCCAATACGTCCTTCTTGGCTTGGTCGGAATTGTTTTTGTACGATCCAGTGGCGAGGGAGCTCTCCAATTCGTAAAACTGAGGGACATCACGGGCAGCCACTTCGTTCATGACAGCTTGCAGGATGCTGGTGTGCATTTCGAGTTGCTTTTTTTGGTTCAACAATGCGGGGAGTGAATCGACGGCCGTGGCCAAATCATTGGCCGCATTGCCCGATGGATCGGGAACCAGGTTGTTGCTGTTGTCGCCGCCCGTGACGGCTTTGGATCGAATGGCCTGTTCTCGTGCCGTGACGTCTTCCAATTCGACCCCGTTGCTCTCAATAGCCTCGGGGAAGGGTTGGAATTTGTGGGCGATATAAAATGGATCTTCATCGGGATCCAAATCAAACTTTTTGGGGATTTTCTTGGGACGCTTACTGTCGGCATCCTTGGTTTCCACAAATTCGACGCGATTGGCCCTGTGCGTCAAAACGTCGTCAATCAAAGCTTGGTAGGTAGACGTGTGGTGAAAGGGAGTAATCAAATCGGCATTTCGATCGAGAATCACCAACAAGGGACGTGTGTGTCCGCCCTTATTGCGAAGCAGAGTGGGATGTTCGGCAATCATTCGGTTTAGTTTGCGAGCCACCATTTCGGGAGCAGCACCCTGGTTGTGATGTGATCGAGTTTAGATTAGATTGATTCGTCAGGCAAAGAAATATTGGATTGCATCAATAGATACGCGTCATTGTGAGTTTCAACGAGAGCATTTTATTTTTCGATTGCTTTCTTTCGACACATCCTGCCGTTTTGTGTGTGTGTTGACGTAACGTACCTTGGGACATCGAATGACAGGAATTTGTTCTAATGTTGCCACAACACTAAATAGCCCATAGGCAATTTCTGTCATGGCAGCCTCCATGGCTTGTTCGGTGGTTCCCGATCCATTGTAAGTGACATAGGAGTTTGGTTTGTGTAAAGAAAACAAGTGTCGCTCCAAACAGACGTAATCCAAGTACTGATCATGAACACTGGCCACAACGTCCAGAGATCCCGTCTGTACGACGAGTTGTGCGAATTCCTCCATCAAGGATCGATCCAATTTGGTGACAAAATTCAAATGGGCTCGCCCATAGAGTCGTTTGCCACAATCCTGGGCAATGCGTGCCAAATTTTCCTTGGTCGGAGTGACGAAATAGACGGCGGGTACATCGGGAATGGCTTCTCGATCCGAGTGCAGCAACAAGTGCAGAGTCACACCCCGTCGACGCAACTGAGAGACACTGAGCAGTGGCGAAATGATGGAACGGCAGGGAGCATCGTAAATCAAAATCTTCCATTGATTATGAGAGGATCCAGCTGGAGGAAGTGTGTAGTCATTGTCATTGTCGTAACTCGCCGTTTCCTCGTTAAAGGCGAGCATACGATGGACTGCCTTGAGCTGGGCTGCTTTCAGCGAGTTGGATGAAAGAGCCATTGTTTCTTCTTTCTTGCTCCAGAATAATAATAAAAGTCACTCTCTTCGATGAAATCTGCCACAATAGTTGTGTCGTGACTTGAGTGTTCAGTCTATGCTTTACTTGTAGCACACGAATCAAGAGGACATTCCAAGCTTTTCAAAGGAGCAGTGAGGGGCCACTTGAGTTGTCGTTGTTAAAGGGTTGCCTTTACTACTACCACTGGCTAGTACTGCTGTGTTGTTGGTGTCGCTGTTTGAAGACCGGCTGTGCCATGGCCGACATCGGCATTCTCCAGCACCGCGCGAAAGATACTGTTTGTTTAGCCTTAACCCAACCGACACGGGACCAAGGTTCCGTGACTGATGGATCTTTGATGGCCCTTCATTTTTCTTCTCCTTCCGATCTTCCGATGATCCCTGCAAAGAGATACCAGTAGCTCCCTGACTGTTGCTTGCAAAGACATTCATACGATAGGATCCAAAGGTTAGTTTCATTCTGCAGACCATGATGATGAGCAGGCATCATCTTACAGTGGTGGTCTTGTGGCAGTGCCTATTTGTATGCTGCTGCTGGTGGAATCCTCAGTCGCTTGCATTGGCATTTACCCTCAGATGGCCACAAAACACAAAGAGTCTCAAAACATCACCCACAAACAATGAACTCCATCATCAGAATCATCATCAAACAGTTTTAAAATCGACTCCTTTTGAAGCTGGATTGTATGATACAGATGATGGAGATGAATTTGGTAATCCATATGAAGATAGTCCCTCGCCCAAATCAAATTCCCCACTCAAGGTCCCTCCCGATACCAAATTGGTGGTGGGATTGAACAAATACTCGCATGACACGACACTTTGCGCTGCCAATGCCAAAACAGGACAAGTACTCTTTGCCATGGCCAAGGAACGACTTAGTCGAGTCAAACACGATGCTGGCAACGTGGCTACCCTCGTGGAAACTTGCTGCGAAGCTTTGGAACTGGACTTGGATGCCATTGAAACGGTGGTCATGAACAATCATCATCATCGGATATTGCCATTAGAAAAAAATACAAGACACATGGAATGGGAATGTGGATTGCAAATCAATGGAGGAGCCGAAGATGGATACGATGATGATTACAATCTGCTACCCGACGCAACCACCAAAATGGAATTGTCGCATCATCTCGCTCATGCCTATTCTGCGGCAGCCCAATGTCCCTTTGATACTGGCATGATTGTCATTATGGATGGCATGGGAGAGACGTATCGTACCATGATGCGAGCCAAGGAAATGGGGGATGAATCCTACGTGAGTGATTTCACAGACCCTGATGATGATGAAATGCAACTCATTCCGAGTGATTTACCAGAACAATCTCGGAACAGTTACTTTGATTGGAGAGAAGCCGAGACTGTGTACACCTTCACCAAAGAACGCAAAACCAATCAACTCCACATCAAACCAATCTTTAAACGATTCACACCCGAAAGGTCGCCGCCGACCTTGTACAATCATGGATTTGAGAATATGGATTCGCTGGGTGCCTTGTACTCGAGAGCATCTTCCGATATCTTTGGGGATTGGAATGCCTGTGGAAAAGTCATGGGACTGGCACCGTGGATGGTTCATTCCTGGAGTAAAGAAGACGATGACGACGACAATGAAAATACAACTCCCATTGTGCCCCGTAAAGAGACCAAACCAATCTTGAAAGGATCCATCTACTTGGAAGATCCCCAAAAGACATTGCAGATTGATCGGAGTCTCATGGCCGGGGAGCCACTTACAGCACGGAGTGATCCAGAACTGTTTGACGAACACGGCAACTTTCTCAAAAAGCGACGCTACGACTTTGATGACAACGACGGGTCGTCGTCGAAAACCAAACCAGACAAGCTACTTCCAACTCAAATTGCGTTGGATGCCATTACACTGGCGTCTCGCATGCAAACCGATCTTGAGGATGTTGTGATGGACTTTGTCAAGCATTTTCAGGAACAAACCAAACAAAAGAATCTCTGTTTGGCGGGGGGCGTAGGATTGAATTCGGTCCTCAACGGACGACTGGCCCGAGAGCTTGGATTTGAGAAAACATTCATTCCACCATACCCAGGAGATGATGGGATTGCTGTTGGATGTTGTGCTTTTGCATTGTATGGAAAGCAAGTGCGGAAACCGGAACCGTCCATTCAATTGTGGTCCAAACCATTGTCGCCCTACTTGGGCCCGGCACCCACCGAATATGATATCAAAATGGCGATTGAGGATGCGGCACCATGGTTGGAAGTGGAGACCATACGCAATGAAGATCGTCGGGTAGAGCTCATGGCCGAGGAGGTTGCATCTGGAGCCATTGTGGCGTGGTATCAAGGACGGTCGGAACTGGGGCCTCGTGCTTTGGGGCATCGTAGTATCCTGGCCGACCCGAGAAAGAAAGGGCTGGTGAGATTCATCAATCAGCATGTCAAAAAACGGGAAACTTTTCGGCCTTTTGCTCCCAGTGCGTTGGCCGAAGAGGCTCACGACTGGTTTGACTTGGGGTCACACATTGGGAGTGCCAGTGATGATCCCGGCAGCACCGATGATCACCCCAACAACGTGAGCCCCTATATGAGTATGACAGCGTTTGTCAAAGAAGACAAGCGAGCAATGATACCGGCAGTGACTCATGTGGATGGCTCGTCTCGCCTTCAAACTGTCACAAAAGAGGCGGAACCATTGTATCACAAGTTCATATCCAAATTCTTTAAAAAGACTGGTGTCCCCATGGTCTTGAACACGTCCTTCAACACGCTACCAGGAGAGCCCATTGTGGAAACACCACAAAATGCTATTCGAAGTTTCTTGTGTTCCATGGGATCCATCGAAATGCTAGTCATGGGAGACTACATAATTCGACGGAAACAACCGGATCTCCGCAAACTGCTGGGCGAAGTTTCCAAATACGATGAAATTGTAAAAGAACCGGCCTGTCCGAAGCGGGCAGGTCCAGCAAACTTCCAGGCTACATTTGCCTTGCACGGTGATGAACGAGACGAAGAATCCATAGAGCCTGCCACCAAAGTTTGCATGCCCGACAGGCCCATGCACGATGAACGTACCGAGGGATGGTTTGAACTGGCCGATGAATTTGAAGGAGAGATCCTTTCTGCCTGTGATGGAACCATCACTCTCAATGAGATTCTAGCTCAGTACACTGTCAAGTCCTCGGAGGATGACGATGCCGACCAGCCATCACAGAGCAAAGTATCAGACAGCCAAATTCTTGCAGAGAATGCGATACAGAGGTTGGTCCGTCTATACGAACATACTCTGATACATTGGTAGAGACTAAATCGCTGGAAGCTAGCTAGCTAGAGTTGTTTTCAGACTGGCATTTCATTGTCTGTTTTCACTCGAACTCTAGGAATGTTTCGAAGAGCCGCTGGCCAAGCGAAAGGAAAGGACGGGCACCAGTTACTTCCGGGCCAATCCCAAGCTCTTCACAACTCGCCTGTACATATCAAACTCTTTTCTTTCAAGATAATCCAAGAGCTTTCGCCTTCGCACAGTGAGTACAAGCAAGCCACGTTTAGTGGATTTGTCTTTGTGGTGGGCTCGCATGTGAGTCTGGAGTTGTTGAATGCGGGAAGTCAATGCAACAACTGACGACCAGAGGAGGATGTGAGACACATGTCAGTTTGACAACAGACAGACAAACCTTTCCCACAGATATACTTGACTTACTTTGCACTGCTGTAGATCCAGTGTCACCTTCTCGCATCTCAAAGAGCTTCATTCCACTTCTCTTCTGATATGCCACAACCTCCTGTTGGTTGCCATTGGCCATATCAAACAACTTTTGAACGCGTTCACTCATGGCCATCCCCGTCATGAAATGACGCAATGGCGTCTCCTGCATCAACAGGGCTCTTCTTTCTTCCAATTCTTTCTTGTCTCGTTCGTCTGCCAATCGAATCTCTTCTTCCATGACTTCACGAGGGACAAAATCTTCCACAGGAGTGTCAATTGGCATGTAGCCTGGCGGCTTTTGGAGTTCCTTGCCCTTCTCAACCAAAGCCTGTCGTTTACGCCATCGAATCCCTCTTTTCCTCTTTGCTTTGGTCATCTTGAATCGAATTTGCTGCTGCTGCTGTGGGAACCCCTGTGGGTAGCCGCCGACTTCAGCAAAGGAAGATGAGGTGTTGCCAATCACTCGAGATGCCGTATGGAAGATTGCAGACGAAGCTCGGCTTGCACAGAAGGCCGTCGCCCTCTGATAAAACACAGATGATGCCATCATGGTGCCTTATCTACTGTTTGAGTTGTATGGGTACCAACAATGGATTTGTATTCGGGGTGTTGATGATGCGGGTGCCTTGCTTGGTGGCCATGGCCGCTGCTTTTCGCAGTGGATCTTTGACGGTCGAAGATCAGACGATAATAACCCACCCGGTTTTTGCTTTAGTTCCTGTTCTCTCTGGCAAGATCCTCGCTTGCTCGAACCACAACCATCCCAATGACAACCTCTCAAACAACAGCAACAGCAGCGGACAAAGAGCAGGAACCGAAGTATCAAAGTGCTCAACGCTTCTCACTGCGCTTACTTTGAAAGGATGAAGACCGCCGAAGCAGCAAGAAAAGGAGGCCGAAAGAAGGTCAAGAAGCCTGCATCCACAAACAATGACAAGAGCAGCAACATGGACAGCAACAAGAGCAACGCTATGGTTTCCACGTTGGTGGCCAGCATGGTGAATAATTGTCTATGTCTTCATGGCACGGCAGAAGGATAGTTCGATGCTGTGAGTGGTGATGCATCGCAGACTTTTTTGGATGACTTGTTCTCCCGTCACTCCAATAATACAGGCTTGCTCACTGCACGATCTTCACTTGGCCCACCCTGTTTTAGATCAAACAGACACGGCCCAACTTCTTTATGGGTTTGCAGATACCTTTCTTCTAAGTGGAGATCCTATCCCTGGATTATCTTCACTGGTAGTTCATGGACAGGCTCACTGAAGCCTGGGAGGCTATGTAGGACACACACAAAAATTGGATGAAACAAAGTACTTTGGATCTTCTACTGGCTTCTTGGAGTAGACTTTCTAGATTGAATCATACTCAGTGAATGCGATCTGGTCAAAGTGGGGGAATTGCCACTACTGTATTGGGAATCCCATCAAGTGCAGGAAGTCCTCTCAGTCTGAAGAATCAATCCGCACAATCACCTTCCGTGCAATTGTGGTTGGACGCAGCAGCAATGTGTCTGGCATGGTCTGCCCTGGAGATAAATTTGGAGATGGCAGCAAAGTAGAGAAATTGTCTGTTGTTGTTGAAGAGGGTGCTCAGGTTCCATAAGCCACAACCAGCCATCAAGAAGGCCTTAGCTAAACACGAACTTGTGACTGCTGTGGCAAGGGGACTACAAACCCCTGTGATGTCAGCTATCTGACTGGCCATTTCATGAAATACAATGGAAAGATCAAAGGAGATGAAGCTTCAAGGCGTTTGACAGCTCAGCACTTTTAAAAAAACTGAACGTCTAATAACGGATTCAGACGAGATGTGCTTGAGGACTACCCACGAGCTATGACAGCTCAGCACTTTAATGTCAGCTCAGCACTTTAATGTAGCAGAGGGAGCAGCCAACACACAAGATTAGAGGAGAAGCAACAGGGATTCATGTACGAGTACTGCCAGCAACAATGACAGCAACAAGAACAAATGCATGCCTAGAGAAGAGGACACCACTACTAAGAGATTTATAGTATTCTCTTGTTGTAATGTAGGAATCGAATCATTTGATACGAAAGAATTGCCTTAATATACCAGCTAGCCTCACTAGCTAGTAGCCTTGACTTCAATTATCAAGCAACCAGCCGAACAACACTATACGTCGGCCCGCCAATCGGACGACCAGGTGGAACCTTCATAGCTGCCAATGTCAATCATAGTGTCAATCTTGTCCAGAGTCTTCCCAATGTACACTTCTACATCTTCGGTATCGGATTGGTCGTGGCTGACGACCGTGGAAATATCGAACAGGGGTAGATCGCACATGAGGGCCTGTGTTTTGCGAGAGTTTGCTCGGGGGACTGGCAGTGGAGGAGGAAAGCAGCCGTACAAGGGATCTGACAACTCGGAGCCATCCCGCTTGGAGGATGACCTTCTCTCCTGCTCTGCAATTTCGTTGCGGCGTTCTCGGCGTCGATGATGTTGCTGCGTTCTTTTCCCCGCAGGAGCATCCCGTTGCGTCCGCCTTGGAGGAGGATGCTTTGGTGGTTCCTGGCTACTGCCGCGCAGTCTCCTCTTTTTGACAGGTTGCGCTCGACGAGTGTATATAGCCTCAACATCCTCTGTTGGAACATCTGGGGGAGAGCCTGCCTCTGCTTCGTATATTTGGAGGGAATGCATCCCCTTGGTGGATTTCCTTTGATTAGCTTCCTGAGGAGACATTTTGGGTGACTCCAGTTGCTTGTGCTTTCTAGCGGGCACTGGCGGCGACTGCAGCTGTTGGTTTTTGTTCAATGGGAGAACTTCTGGAATTCGCTGGCTGATCGTCGACTGTGGTGAGGTGGATTCTGGGGATGTTTCTTCGTTTTCGGCCTGCTGCCAAGATTCAGACCTCCTTGGCAGCGCTTTGGGAGGTTCAGCGTCTACTTGCACCTGTACGATACACTTTTGGGGTTTGCGTTGTCTCCGCTGCGTTTGAGGTTGCTGTTGAGTTGGTTGTTGCGTTTGTCGTTTCTGTTCTAGTTGCTTTTGTGATGGCTCTGATGTCTGAGACGCTTTTCGCTTCAAGGATGATGTCCCTTCTTCTTGTTCTCGCAACTTCCTTTCGGCTAGTCTCCTGTCAAGGTCGAGCTCCTCAATCTGCTTCAACATGTTAAGTTGTTTCTTTCGTATCTCAGTTTTTCTCTTTTCTTTTTGTCTGTTGCTGAGTTTGGTATTCTGGACTGGCTGGATAAAGAATACCATGATCAAACCCGTCAAGATCCAGAAAAGTACCCCGGCGACTGCCACTAGACCACCTTGATCCACATCACAGTTTGGATATGTTCCAATGTCGGTACAAACAGAAGTTGTTGTAATAAGCAATGTGGAACCAGTCATGAATGCGAGTGCAACGGTACATGTGATCATAATATAGCGTTGTAATCGCGCCAATGATAGACACGACAATCCAAACGAAAAGAGGAACAGACTAACCGACATGAGTACGGCCACGACACCAACAATGCGGAGTATTTCAAATCTCCCATCGACAATCACATTTCGTTGTAATTCATTGTACCCAGCACAAGATCCATCATCCCAATCAAGAGTGTCAAAGGGTCGCATCCAGACAAAGAGACCAATGCCTACTCGAACACTAGACAGAGTGTCTTTGGCATCTGTGTCGCCAACAAAATGTTGGTCAAAATCACCATGGTCGGACAGGAATTCGAGGGTAGCAAACCGGCAGGTTGAAACTGCAAAGCAAGTGCAGATTGTGCCACATGCCATGGATAACAGCAAGAATGCCGATGCTCGACCTCCATGAGGATAGGATCTAAAGAAAGAAATGCAATGCGATGCGATATAAGACGACAGCAAGAGGTTTTGTCACGCCGCATCACGCCGCAAGAGGCTCCAAAACTTACAGAAACCCGTAGTAGGTCGACATGGTCACACTGGGAATGCTCAAGGATAGCCAGGTTCCGCTGCCAGCCACGATGCTGGAGGTATCTGGTGGTAGCTCCTCTCTAGCTCTCTCGTCAAAAAGGAAATGAAGGAGCACTGGGCAAGAAGAAGGAACGATGAAAACCATGGCATCCCACAAACAACGGCTGTTTCATTTTGTGAGTGGTCCGTTGGATTTCAGTCATGCTTCGGATCCTCAAGGAGCAACGCAGCAATTTTAAACTGCGAAGCTGTTTACAGTATTTCGGATCCTCCTTTCCTCAGAGTGCGGAAAATGGGACTTCAATCGTTCAAATGGTACTTGGTACAGAAAAGGAACAAGTGCTACAGTACTCTTCCTTAGGAGACCATGACGGTTGATTCTACCAACCTTTTCTCGACTGAGAACTTGGAAAATGCAAGTGACATTGCCAAGAGCAACATGCTCGAGTTAAGGGCATCTGTCAAGACCAGAGACTGGTCCTTGCGTCTACTGGCCCTTCTGGGTGGTGTGGCCCTGATATTCACTGCCGCCTTGGAGTTTGTGTCGAACATATTGAATCTAAATGCCCTTGGTGCATTGATCGAATTTAACGTCATATTTCTGGGAATCATTGTTCTAGTGTTGGAAGGCAGTCAAATCTCGCTTCCTCCCAAGTTTCAGCACACCCTGCACAAGTTAGTATGCCCTGTTTCTCAAGTACATTTGGGGCCGAGGACTGCTGTACTTTGTTGCAGGCTCTTTACTGGTGACTGGCATGCAATGGATGGACTACCAGGTACATTGTTGGTGGATTCACGTGCCTGGTGGGGGTTCTGTCTCTGTGTGGGTGGATCAACCACTAAGAGCCAGTCCACACTCGGAATTCAACTATCCAAAATCAAAGATCGAAGTACGCATGTAAACTTGGAAATCTAGGTTCTTGTTCGCTACCTAATCCACACTGCGGAATTCCAGAATCAAAGAATCCAAGTTTAGAAATCGAAGTTAGCAGTTGGCATTGGAACGCATTGGCATCAATAGAATAATGAGATACGTACCTCTTTTCCTCTCACTCTTGTAGTTGTAATAGATACTCGCAGTAATTCAATAGCATGTACCTCTACAGTCTTTTCCTCCTCATCTTCTTATTGAAGTCAATCGCTGTTGCTGCCACTGGTAACAATGGTGGCCATGGTGGTTCATGTAAGAGGCTCAAGCATCTGCTTGGCTACACCGCGGTATTGCTTGAAGTTGATCCCTTTTTGTTTGGTCAACACAAACATATCAGGCATGATACCCCTCCAATCAAAAGAGTACGTAGAAAGGTCCACACTATCTTTAGAGAAATGGGAAGCACTTATGTTAGACGTGCCTTTCGGATGAACGAAGAAGATTTCTGGCAACTTCACGACTTACTGAAAAACCATCTTGGTGGAAAGGTTCGCTCAAAGAGGAAGAAGGCTCGCAATGGGGCTGTCAATGGTTTGATCTCCAGTGCAGCTCGATTAAGTGTCGCCCTTCGTTACTTCGCCGGTGGTTCTGCTTATGACATTGCTGTTATGCATGGCATAAGTCACTGTTCCGTATACGATAGCATTTGGATGGTGGTGGACGCAGTGACTAAGACAAAACACCATCATGACTTGTCCATTAGCTTTCCAAAGGAACATTCCAAGCAGTTCGCAATTGCAAGAGGTTTCAAGAAATCCAGCAAAATAGATATAGACTGCTGTGTAGGGGCAGGTGATGGCATGCTCCTGTGGACTGAGAAGCCACACCAGTTAGACTGCGACATTGCCAACGTTGCTCCAAAGAGATTCCATTGTGGTCGCAAGCATAAGTTTGGGTTGAACTTACAAGCCTTTTGTGACCACGAAAGGCGATTGCAATACACGGCTCTTAGCCTTATTCGCGACTCGATCCTAGATAGGGTTTGAGTTCGACTCATGACGTAGTCCTTCGCGAATAGTCATTGGAGACAGGTTCTCAATGACCGCTAGTCATACTAGGTTGATGATGAAACATCGCTCTAGATATTTAGCCGCGTGGGTACTTCCACGCTACTAGATAAATGCTAGATCGAATCTCACGCGTTCCGTTTTTGATCGTGGAGTGATTAGGATTGCTACCGCAACCTACTCTATCACACTCTACAGTCTCCCGCGGGAGTCAAGATCTACGATCCTTTGATTGTGGATCTCTCTCGTGATTAGTTTTCATAGCTTTCTAATCCTCTCATAACTTTCATCTCTCAAACTCAAAACCTCGAAAGATCTTTACACTAGCTTTTAGCGTAGTGCATTTTGTTAACAAACACAAATAGCTTTCAGCTACACCTCAACCTATTACTCACCATGAAGATTGCCAAAGACGCATACACCAGCTTC